TCCATTGCTTTGAAATGCCACATTAGCACATGTGGTCAGAGTTAGGATTCACACATTCTCGATTCTTAAATATATAACTAGGGGGAAGGAGGTGGATCTGCTTATTTAAGGCAATTTTAATACGCCAGTTGCTGCAGTCATAGGAAAGCAAAAGTATTATACACAAAGATATTCACCCAAACACTAACTCACCACTTATAAAGTTAGTCTCTACTCAAATGTCCTTCTGCATTCAACACTAGGTCAATGCCTGCTTGCTATCAATGGTTTCTCAGTTAATCCCCACTGGCTGTTGGAAATTGCTGCAAATACAACATAAACTGGCTGAAGAGTGATGCAAAATGTAATATAAAGAGTTAACAGTGAACTGCTCCTGCCACATGCAAAGCTAGTGAAAATCTGGTGGTCAGTCCCGTCAACAACAAAGAGAGAAAAATTGGCAGGACTGAAAGTAGGACAGATGAGTCTAAAGAAGACGACCCACCCATGGAAGGGTTAAGAGAGATGCTTGAGAAACAGTGATGACTACAAACTGCTTTCCCTAAAAACACCTCCTTGCAAAAGTGTTGGTGCAGTAAAATTTGAGTGTGCACCATCATGCCAGAAACAAAACAATAACCTCACTTCACTTTTTCACTGTCTTCCAAAATTAGTACATAACCATGGACATACTTTAAAATAAACTCAGAGTTAATTTTAATTTTACTTCTCAAACAACTCTTTTGTTTTCCCAATGAGATGTTGGTCTCAGTTTCAGGTAGTCTTTTTCTGAGACCAATGAATCTCAAGCCTTCCATACTTTAATCAATTCTGAGCTTTCTACTCTGTTAAACTCTTTTTATAACTGCAACATTGCCTTTCACTGTTATTTTATAATAGCATTCTAGAAAGGAAAATTGTTATGTACTTTATAAATGCCTCATTTAATCTTAAATCTTCTAATTAGACCCTAGAATCCTTCAGTCAAATTCTTCCAAGTGCCTCTGGGATTTTCCATTAGTATTTATTATTATTACTAACAGAAGCTAGTATCGACTGAAAGTTTGCTATGTCGGGCACTTGCTGTGCGTTTTCCATGCACCACTATATTTAATTTGGCCAACTCTCTACTTGTGCACCACTACCATCTCTACTTATAGTTGAGGAAACAAAGAGTCCGAGGGGCTAAGAAACGTGTTCCATATCCTAGAACTGGTAAGGGTTCATGCCAGAATGGAATCATCTACTGATGCCAAATCCATTTGCTGGCAGTATTCCCAATTTGGAACTCACTTTTCTTATTTCAATGTACAAAGTGTTTTCTTCTCTTTGGAAAAACAGGTTCAGAGCCATTTACTAATTTTCCTGAAACCTCTCCTGTACTGAATGTATCTAAATTTCCCTAATGAAAGACTTCAAACATAAAAATTCAAAGTGTAAGACCAACAGTTAAATCACACTGACAATATGAAAGTAAACATCAAATGTCTTATCAAGCCTCTCAGTGAGATCTTAGAGAATTAAAATCTGTTAAAAATGGGTCATTTGGAAGTGGCCTCAAAATAACATCAAATCCTTAAGGCAAAAAAGTCATTAACGTAAGTTTAAAATACTAAAAATTGGGACTTTATATCGGTTAGATACCTTATTCAGAATTATACTCTGCATTTTTTCCTAATGAATATAATAGAGATGTACAGAATACTAATTCCTGGGTGGTCCACAGCACATCTGAAGATAATAAATACTTTGATCCACATCCATGAAAAGGCTCATCTTATCTACCAAACTTTCTTTGCTTCTTTCCCTATCCTTCAGCTTCCTCTTGGCCCCAAAATCTGGCAGTGCCAAAGAAAACACCGCCAAAGCTCTGGGTGTCCCGACTTCCAGCTTACGTGACCACATGAAGGAAACGCTCAGCTGTGCACTGGCTCCAGCCTGGGCTGTCTCAGGGCCCTCTCCTTGCCCGTGTGCACCACCTGCCTGCATGGATTCCCCGCTCCCTCAGCTCACACTTCCCCCAGAAGAACCATCACTTGCTCCACTCCTTGGTGGGCAAAGCATCACTGAAACGAAGTTTTTTTAAAAAGGCAAAGAACTGATTAAAGCTCTCACATTCTCAAGGTTAAATGTTAGACCCACTTGAACATGCAGTAAATTGTGCATGGATATCTGAGAGAGCCAAATATCCATCGGCATTAGGGCAACTGGGACACTGTCCTGGACACTGAGGCCACAGAGGAAGTTCTGGTAAACTAATGAGAGTCTCAGCTGCTGCACCTGGGAGGACAAACAGATGACACAAACATAAGAGGGGCCGGCCAGCCTATGAAATCATTCTCATTCAGATTGCTTAAAAACACCATCATGGTGGTCTTTGTGACCCTGGCTCCAAGAGGAGAGTGCAGGGAACAGAGGTTGGAAACAGATATGAAAGTCAATGGCAGAAATATGTGACTGCAAGAGTTATGGGTAAGAAAAATATAATTGACACTCTGTGATGAGAAAATCCACCTGGAAAAGCTTAAGTAGAAGCAGATGGATAAGGCAAGGGAAAGCAGGAGAACACAAGGCAGAGGCCACAGGGCTCCCAGAGGGAAAGACTTTCAAACTCTGGACCCCACAGAGTATGCTGTCACCTTGGCATTTGGTTGAGCAAAGAAAGCTCAGCCACATACTCAGCTCATGAATCCAGGATGCTAGAGAGGACCAGCAGGAGTTTATTTAGAGATGTTCATGCATCTACAAGTTAACAGGGGACATGATAAAATTACACACACTCCTGACTTTGACTATTAGCCACTCAGTCACTTCACCTTCTTAAACCTTCATTATCTCAGCTGTTAGTGAGAGAGGGGAACAAGAGGATTTCTAAATTTTTGGTCAGATCTAAAAAAACAAGGATCATGTCAGCAAAAAATGCTGTATGCTATGTGTGCAGAAATCTGCTATCTAGTATGCCACTTTATCTTTGTGTATTCTGATATAACTATTATAGCTGAATTAACATAAATTGCACAATTACTGGTTGGAAGCAGAAAAACTTCCAGTATTTCCTATTCTCTATAACAGTATCAGGCCACCTATGGAGAAAATAAAAATTAAGCATAAAATAAGTAAATATTCCTCATAGAAAAGAATGGGAACAGTGTGAAACTTTCTTGGTTTTGTCCTCCCATACCACTGACCAATTTAAGTGTAAGGAGGCCAGGTCAGGCACAGCTTTTGCAGGAGGCAGCCCTGCCTGGATGTAGCCTGTGTCCTTGTGATCCTTGGTCTGCAGTGAGCAGGGTGGGTGAGGAGATCTCAACTCCAGGGACAACCTCTTGGTGACATGGAACTCTCAGCAAAAGATATTTCTCCCTTCCTGCCTCCATCTTCTATCTGTAAGTAGTACTAATTCTCAGTGTTTCTTCTACCTCAAAAACGTGCTGTGTCTAGGCAAAGTGTGAGAAATTTTTTGAGTTCTAGAGAAGAAAAATATTATAGGCAGTGAGTGACAATTTTAGTGACAAACAACACTGATGCAATGATTTTTAAAAACACACTATAATGATTAGATCTAAACAAGGTGGAAGAGAGTTGTGGGACCCAGAGTGGCTAGTGACTCCACTCTATCCACTAGTACAGTGAGAGCAAGCAGTGTGGCGGTGGCAGTGACATGCCAGCACACAGCCTCTCTCTACCTGGCCATACATGGGGCACACACCAGGTGTGAAGAGCTCATCTTGCAGCTCTTTCTTCTTTCCTTCTGCCTCCCTCCCTGCTGTCCTCCCCTCTCGTCTGCCCCTTCCTTCCACTCACTCAAACACCCCTCATTGCAGGCTTCACTGCTCTGCATCCTAGATATGGGCATGGCCATTGCATCGCTCAGTTGTGAAAAGTAAAACATGAGAGCTCTGTGATCAATGCATGTAACAGGCAGTGGGGGGCCTGTGCCCACCCTGGTGTTCCTGGGCTACTCACTGTTGCTCCTTTGTGGAGAGAACCTGGGTCTCCTCTTGCCAGCCTGACAGGCGACCTGCTGACCAGGTGGGCTGGCCTCATTTTCTTGAGATTTTGTTTTCTACATAGCCGTCCTTTCCCGCTCGAGCCCCTTAGCTTCTCCTGGGGTAGGCAAGGAAGGACAGCCATTTCCTGAGGGCCAGTTAAAGTGAAGAATTTTCATCTATCATCTCAGTGGGTACTCTTGTTTATTCCTTAGGAAAATACCCTGCACCAGTGGACAGAGATGGACACACGGAGGCCAGAGGTGGCTCAGAAGGTGCTAGAAGACAAGCTGAAGAGGCCTGTGTGAAGGCCAGCAGTGTCAGAACTGTCTCTAAGCTATGGGAGAAACAGACACCACGGCTGCTGCATGTAACAGTTGGTTTGTGTCACGCTCCTTGCTGCTGCCATGGAGAGGTCAGGAAGGGAAAGGTGGGACTCAGCACCACTGTCTGGAAGGAGCCTGGGTTTTGCAACTGGCTGGTTAGCCCTGGTGGAAAGGGCAGACCCAGATACCCACAGCCCTCACTGATGCTCAGGTCAGGCGAGCTAGCCCTGGCCCTCAATCTTGATTGATCCTGGGCTCACTCCTGTATCTTCTTCCCCGTTCTGATGGCCACAGTCAGAGCACACAGCATAAGTATCCTGACTAACCAGAGAGCATTAGTGTCTGTGTCATGCTAGGTACATTCATGAAATATGGTATGGTGAGATCACATTTAGTAAACTTCCTTAAAAACAGTTGTATTCTCTAACCCACTTTTTATTGGTTAGAAATAAAACAAAACAGATCATATAGTTAAAAGCACAGGATTCTTTTTTCTAAGGACATGCCATCTGAGAAATGTTTAGCAAGCAAATACCCCGAGAATATTTATCAAGTGGTTACCCAGGGATATCTGCAGAAAACACAAAAGCAATTTTCTTGGCTAACATAGCTTTAATGTAAAATTTAAGCCCCAATCCAACCACAGGCACATTTCTTGAATTTGGGGAAGGAAAGCTATGTTCAGAGAGCGGGACAGAGTCCTTACCTGGCATGACAATGGTCTGTGGAGTGGCTGCGTCAGCACTAAGGCAGAGACGGCCACCTTTGGCCAGTCTGTCACACAGCAGGGTGATGTGTTTCTTCAGCCGGCTTGTGTCTTTGGGCATATTCAGGTGGCTGCTGAGGTTCAAAGCCTGCTCCTTGGAACTCTTTGACAGGCAGGTCTTCAATAGGTGGGACACGGCAGCATCCACGGTCTCTTCCCAGCCCTGCAAGCAGAAGGCAGTGTTGAGTTTACGCCAAGAGGACAACAAGCCAAGTGGACACCTCACTGCTGACCAGGCTGTATGGATGATCACTCATGCGCAAGTGCTAGAATAAAGCTTGGGGTCTGTGATGCTCTGGGCCACCCCAGCCTGGGACTCAGCTCTGTCCACCGTTCACCTTGAGCAAGTGCTTGTTTCCTTTTGCCCTCCCTCTCAAGGACCAGGATGACCAAGAAATCTATGAGAAGTGTCCACCCCTGAGTTACTTACATACAGTATAAGCAGTGACAATCACATTAGTCTCTGTGTAGGTCATTTGATGATTCGGGGGAGGGCGCCTTATATTCTGCTCAAGGAAAATGGGCTATACTGGGGACTCCAGGACACCTTGGGGACACCTCAGGGACATTTCCCTGCAGTAGAGAGAACCCTGCTTTTTCAGCTATGGCACCACAGCTGCAGGGAAACAGATCAAAAGCAAAGGGCTTTCTTTGTGAGACACAGTGCTCATCTAGTCCCATTTCACTATCAAGTGACAAAAAGTGACACAACATGGAAGTGGACCATCCACCCCACTTGTGCTGGGAACAGTGTAACGATGTATCATTGAAGTGCCATGTCTTCTTGGCAACATGAGGATTGCAGTTCTAGGACCTGAGCACTGTCAGCATTGTCACAGAGGATGTGAGCACCAGTAGGCCTGGCACAGAAGGGCCCCCCACATGCTTGCAGGGGATACTCATGATAGCAGTGAGGGCAGAGTGCAGAGGTCAGCTGATACATACATAAGCTGTCCCAAGGGCCCCAGAGGTAACTGGGGGACATCTCTATGGGGGTCCAGGGATGCCAAGACATGTGAATGAAATGGGGGTGTTAGTGCCAGTGTGACTCCATCATACCCAAAGGCTCATAAGGCCAAGGGCACCATGGGCCAGACAAAGTAGAATTATAAAGGAAGACATGAAGTGAACTGATTCTCATAGAATATTGCAGAATCACCAAGCCCTTACACTGGAGGTGAGAAACCTCAGCCTCACAGAGAAAGGTGCTGAGGGGAGCCTCACTGCTACTACCCTCCATCTTCAACCTTCCTATGCGCAAGCCCAGTGACTACCCCAGGCCACAACTCCCAAACCCAAAGCTCAGGTCAGCACACAAGAACATCTGCCTGGTCCTGCCGTGCTACACCCTCTTTCCTCTACCTGCAACACCCCCTCCCATCACTTGGGCCAGTGCCTGGTCTCTGCCCTTTACATGGTCAGCTCCCACATAGACCCACAGGTCATCGTCAGCCTGAGATCTGTCATGCCCTGCTCCACCCAGTGCTCTTTCCGGGTCCAGTCAGGAGCTCCCCTGGCTGACACAGTGCTTTGGAACATGGACAAAGGTGCAGAAACATCTGCAGCATGGAGACGGTGAGAAGCAAAACCAGGATCCAAGAGGTAGGAGCAGTTTCCAGATCCTTCATAGCACAGCGATCATGTGCCTAGACACGGCCATCTTCAAGAGCCGAATGCTGCAACTCTGAAGCAGCTCGCTCAGGACATGTGCGAGCAGTGAGCAGTGAGCAGTGATTCCCTGTCCGGGCCCAAATTGGTTCCAGTGGCCTCCGGTATGACTGCTCTTCACCACAGCCCTTCATATCTGCGAAAATAGCGATTCTGTGCCCTGTCCTCCAAAACAAACATCCCAGTCCTCCGCCTCTTCCTTAGACAAACACGGCGTCATGTTTTCTCTCCATCCTGACCACTCTGTCATAAATGCACTCCAGTTTTAAACACTTCGGAATTTATGCAGCTAAGCAGAGAACCCCAAACTGACCCCAGGATCCAGCATAGGGTGCAGAGTGTAGGGTGGGACACTGCCCTCCCTGTTTTCTGGGGATTCTACCCGTTAGCTCAGCCCTGGCCACCTCAGCTCTTTTGTAGCTATGCCACACTCTTGACCCACATGGTGTGGGCAGCTGCCATGGTCTCCTCCCAGGCTCGTGCGCTTGGCTCACCAGACCAAGGTGCAGACCCTATGAGGTACAGACACCTATAAGTGATCTTCTCCCTGGTCACCATGATCACTTAATCAGGACTTTGTATTCTACTGACCCATTTTTATCAACTTATTAGGGAATCCCACTAGGCAAAAGGGAATATAGATGATTTTAAAATGACCTTAAAAATCCTTTCCTGGAGACCTCAAAAACTGCATAAACAGCTTCCAACCTCAAACCACTAAAGAATAATAAACCACTGGTTAGTATAAAGATATCTCTCTACCGTTACTAAAACCTAACTTAGACAAATACCTAAAATTGACTTTGTAAGAAGAGGTAGTAAGTTAAGTAGTCCAAATGTCATTAGAGAGAACAAATTTTCAAGTTGCCTCTGGAGCCTTTGATAAAGACCTCGGGAGAATAAAAAGCAAAGGTCCTTCGAATACAATTTGGCATTTGTATGCTCTGTAATAATTTCAGCCTTAAAACAATTTCTCTAAGAGCCCATTCATCTGAGCAAATTGTGGCAGGGCCCCTCCCAAAGGAATGCAGTGGGGGCCTTCTCAGAACAAAAAAAAGGGGACATGGCACAGTTAATTCCTAGATAAAGGGCTGGGGATTTAGCTCAGTGGCTCAAGCGCCTGCCTGGCAAGTGCAAGGTCCTGAGTTTGATTCCCAGTACCAAAATAACAAAAACAAAAACAAAAAAACACCGTTAATTCCTAGATAAGCATGTGCAGTTCTAGTATAGTTCTGAGCATAGATTGTACCCAATCAGGCTACAGTATGTTAGTGTGTTACCATTTAAGGAAGACAAAAACACAACAACTGTAGAAAAGGTAAAATTCCACCATGATTGGGGCTCAGCTTTTTGGGTATTAGCCCACTGAGCCTGTGCTGGCACGAATAATGTTGGTTCCTGGAAAGATAGGCTTCAGTATCCCATCTGTTTGAGAATCATACTACATTTCTTTGGTGCTCGTCCAGGATCTGGAGATGGTGTGTTCCCACCTCCTTTGTCATCAGGGTTTGAACAACAGAGCACAGAGAGAAGCAGCCACACCTGGCGCCAATGGACCATTTGATCCATCAGGGAGTCTAGGCCCTCCTGGGGTGCCGGAGTTAGGACTTCAGATGTACAACAGAACCCGGTGAAGCTCAGGAATTAGTTCAGGGTGTACCACGCTTCAGATTGGTAAGAACCCAGGTTCATTTTGCCTAAGAGGCAGAAGGGGAGCCTGATCACCTCCCAGAGTAGAGTTGCCCAAGTAGTTCCGCAAGGAACAAAACCACAACTCTAAGGCGCTGAGCACTGGGTGCTGGGTGCTGGGCAACAGGTTGGAGTCATTGTGTGGAAAGGTTCTGACTTGACCAAAAGGCCAAAAGGGAGACATAGAGGATTGTTATGACCCCACAACTTCATGTATAAGCCAAGGCAAGAGAAGTTGTAGGGGTGACTGAATATTGCTTTGGTGGTCAGATTATTCTGTCCCTGTTCCAGGGTGGTCTCAGATGAGACTTACGACCTCAGGTGACGTCAAGAAAACTTTGGGTGAAATTGAAAGTAACTTAAACTAACATATCTCAGTGTATGCTGGAGATTGAGCCTTGGGCTTTGAGACAAATAGAATGGGAAATAAATGTGCCTCCCAGTCAGGACAGATTAGCGAACCAGGGGCTCAAAGAACAAAATACCCTGTGATAGTCCCCTCAGACTGATGTGAAGGACTTAGGACAACAAGCCATGGACAAAAAAAAAAAAAAAAAACAAACAGAAAACCAAAAAACAAAAAACAAAAAGAAA